AAGTCTGTTGGTCATGGAGCAATTTGCATTAGAGATGAGCCCTGGGAACAAACCAGCATCCTGAGTGTGTTTAGGTCCACAATACTCAAACGCATACTTACAAAACAGGTTACGGCAACGGTCTGACATCTGCCTATGAATTAGGACATAGTAGACTGGAAAACCACTTAAAACCACGGTGCATCCAATGCTAATGCTCACAGGGTCTGAGTAGAAGGACATTGCCACTGTGAAGAGGCAGATGATGGTAAAAGAGACAGGAACAAACAGGGGAACCTGGAGAAAAGAGTACAGAAGACTGTCAGGCAAAACTGATGGCTGTAGCAAATCAGACTCCATACACGCCAGCACACACTGTATTTAATTCTCCATCTAAAGAAGATGAGAAGAAGCATGTATCTGTCCTGCACTGTACTTCTGTGCAATCAGATTGCAAACAATTGTATCAGATTCAGAGACCAGTGTGCCCTGTGAGGTGCATGCCTCCTATATTGATGTGCATCAAAATATAAACCTTACTTACAACTGGAAACCAAGCAAGCAGAAAAGTCACCTATGCAACATTGCTCTCTGAATGCCCTGATCCTGTGCATGCACATATACCTACTTGTCACCTAGGGCAACTGCTGGTGGAAAATCTGAAGCCAAGGATAGAAGTGACACTTTGAATCAAACTGTTCTTTAGTTATAAAACTCACTACTTGTTTTGACCTGCCTTCAGCTTGCCTAAGATTTATAGTGACTAAAACAGGATAAGCCAGACTCTCTCTCTCTGTGGTACCTCTACCAAGAACATGAGCTTCAGCAACATCCTGATGAAAGATGAAAGCAGCAATCAGAACTTTAGCCATACCCTGCTGGATAAGCCATTTCATCTGGGTTATTCAGAGAGTAAATCAGAAGACTGCAATAAATAAGAAAACTGTGAAACACCCTCTCCATCTCTGGATCCAAACTCAGGCAAGTAACTCCTTGCTACAGGTGATGGAATGAAGGAGCTGCTGGTCTCATCAAGGGTGACAATCTCTTTTCCAGTAATAAAGATCCTATTTGGGATGCTCACCATGTCAAGCTGGAAGAGATCAGTTGCTCTAGATCTTGCAGACATCCAGCCATCAAACTTCTGTGCTCCTGCTGTCTTTCCAGCTGGAGCATCCCCTGCCAGCCTCTCCTATGGGTACACACTCATGCTGCTCATCTGCTTGAGAGGCGAGTGAGAGAACTTCCCCCTCCTCTTACCGGTGTTTTCTCACCATTTTCAACTCAAAATGCTATAGGGAGAATAAATACCAGCACAGTCGCACGTGTGTCCCGTTTCGTTCTCCTTAGGCCCGCGGCAGGAGCCGGCCTGAGTCCGGCCACTAGAGCGCAGCATGTGCCCGCGCCACCTGCGTGCAGCTCTTCCTCTTGCAGAGAACTGCGCTGGGGGCTTCAAGGGCTTGTAAAACTGGGGAGAGGAGGGGCGGAAAACAACCCGACTGACCAAAAGGCCAGTATTTCCCTCCCTTGCTTAACCAGCGTTTAGGAGCTGTTAAAATTCTGAATCTCTGTCTAAAACAAAACAGGGCAAAATCTCAGCAACTGAAACGATCAGCATTGACACCTACTAATAAACCTCCCATGAGAAGCTTGGTTTGAAAGAAAAAGCAAAAACTTATTTAAAGTCTGGTTCTGGAGGCATGCATGAGTGCAGCCAGACAACAAACTAGGAAGCTTCAAGGTCTCTGCTAAACACGCTGTCTGACAGCAAAGAGCAAGAAGAAAAATTACCCCAAACTTTCCATTAGGATGCACATAGCTCAAGGAGGAGCCCTTAGAGCCACAGGAAGTGTTTCTGTCCCCCAAGGTTCTTGCTGACCAGCTGCCCACTGCCAGTGGCCTTCGAAGTCTCTTCTCCCCAGGCCTGGCTGGAGGCACCATGCGGGCGTCACCAGAGACAGGAAAAAAGTGTGCCTGCCTCAAGCACCACCCTGGCCAAATGGCTTCTACACATTATCCAGCAGTGGGAAAGGTGCCCCAAGTGCAAGAAAGCTGCTCCAGCTGACATGAGGAAGATTCCTGCACCCAGCAGCTTAAGAAGGGCCACCAGAGGGACCACTGCTTTATACTAGACAATATTTCTGTGCCAGCAGATGCTTCCCCTCCAGCCAGGTTTGCTCCCAGGACTCCTCTGGCCACTCTTTTTACCCCAAGCCTGATACTCTCCTGCTTCTCAGCTAGAGCTGAGAATTAGCTGCCACTGAAATAAAATCCAGGCAAGGGTCCCTCCTTGTAGCCCACAAGAGATGAGTGTGGGAACTGCTTTCTGTACATCTCTCAGTTCCCAGCCTGAAACTTTGTCCCCTGGAGCAAGTGTTCTTCTAACAGATGCAGCTAGTGACACCACATAGAACCGGCTTTATAGGATTTGGGTACATCAACCAATTTCAGGAGCTCTCCACATGCCTTTACTGAGCATCAGGGATTGAGATCCCTTAGAGCCTAAATGCAACTATGACCATGTAATGCTCTAATTACTAGCAAACAAAAGAGAGACTTGACAAGCCTGCACATTCCAGCCTGCCGTGTGCATTACCTTGAATGGGCTGTGCAGCTCCGGGTGACGGTGGCGATGGACAATGAGCCCCAGGGTGGCTAATCCTATGAAGAGCCATCGGGAAAAGCTGAAGAAGTTCAATAGATGGTAGATGTCTCCAACACACACCATGGCAGTGACCAAAGGGAACTGAGCAGTGTGAAGACGAAACACAGTCATTAAAGCCTTGTTATGGTCCTCAGACTAGAAAGGGTAATATGGGTCACCTCCTGAAGCCCCCCTGCAGCCCCAGGTAGCCACTTCACAGGCTCAACATTTCAGAGGTCAGAGAGCTTTACAAACAGTGTCACAGACTGAAGGTAAAAGGCCTAAACACAGTTTTCTGTTGTGCTACAGAAAGGAGCAATCCTTTCAAGATCAGCAAGATCTTTGATGCCTTATGTCCAAGGCAGGGCAATTAAAACAAGCAAGATCCAAAGGCCTGCCAGTATTCAGGGTAGCTACAAAGACACTTGCTAAGTTTTCAGCAGGTTAGCCAAGCTAAGAGGCACTGCAGCAGTTAGGATGTAGCTGGACCATTGCCATTAAAAAACAAACAAACAAACAAACCAAAAAGGAAACCATCTCTGCAAATGCTCATTCCCAGCATTTCCACCACACCTGGGAATTTTCATTTTCCAAAAAGCCAAAGCTTATCGGTGCTTTCACAGGACAATAACAAGCAGCAACTGTGGTAGGTGGTAGGGAGATCACTTTTAAAAAAGTTGTCCAAGGTTATAAGGCAGGGACTTTTAAGTAATGTATTTGTATACTGATGGCACTGTTGGCTCAAGGGGACGTAATACTTTGCAGCCATTTCCTGTATCATGCCTTTTTTATTTTTCAGAGGCTGAATTAACACCTCAACAACCTTTAAAACTCTTCAGCTTGTCCGGTCTTTGCAGGAAAGCCAAGACTGCAAGAACAGAGCATGTTCACACAGCCAGATCTCCTTACCATTAACATGACAGCAGGAAGGGGTGTATGCCTTCGAATGTGGATCATGGAGAAGAGAGGAGGCCACTGTCCTTCCCTGGAAGCCACAAACAGAGTCCTAGGAAAAGACAGGGAGCCCTATGCATTAGCATCCTACATCTAGACTAGAAATGAGATCAGTCACTGAACCAACCTGAGGCTACAAGGCACCCACTCACTAACCCAGCCCAGGTCTCCTAGTCAAGGCCACAGTTCTGCCTTTAGCTGCACTAAAGAATCATAGAATGGTCTGAGTTGGAAGAGACCTTAAAAATCATCTAGTTTCAACCCCCTTGTTATGGGCAGGGACACCTTCCACTAGACCAGGTTGCTCAGAGCTCCACTTTGGGGGCATTTGGAAGAAAAACCCAGTGTTAAGTTCCCATAGCTCTCCCACAACCAGTTAGTTCAACACAGAGCACAACCCACCACCAGGACCGCTGGCAGCATCCCCTTAAATGGCTCATTAGCAGAGACCTTTGGGCAAGTCCAAATTGACCATGAACGAGTTCAGGCTGGAAATAGCAGTGAGAAAGTCTCTTACCATCAGAAAAGGGGTTAATCTTTTCAGTGTAAAAGAAGTAGAGGGATCACAGCTTTCAGTCCTTTATAAGAGAAGCTGTTGAGTTTATGAAAGGGGATTGTCGGTCTTGACGCCTATATTTATATATATAAAATGTATATTAAAAAAATGAAGTGCAATTTCCTCAAATAATAGAGGATTTTCAATCCTCAGGTCAGCTGTTGGAAAATATATATTTTGTCATACTGCCAAGAGGCCAGCTACACACAAGACCAGCTACAAAATGAGAGCATAGAGTTCCTTGCCTCCATGCCTCCTTTGACTCATGAAAGAGCAATTAGCGAGAAGGCAATTGCATCCAATTTTATAAATTTAATATCCACAAGCAAACCATGCCAGAGCATCAGCTGGGCTGGAGCAGGGCCCAAAGCAGCTGGGGCATGAGTGTACAACTGGTTTTATTGCTGTCTCTGTGGCTTTGCAGGGGTGTGGCTGGCAGGCAGCCAGGGAGGCCCCATCGATGTTTATATGGACTTTCTGCAGTGATTATGTTAATGACGCCAGGATGGGGGAGAGAAAGGCGATAGGGGACACAAAGAACCTCTGCGCTGTCTGGAGACTTCTCATCCTCAGAAACCACTATCTAGAGGAACTAACAGGGAGGATTCTCCACACCTGTATTTAATACAGGACTTCAGGCTAGTGGATCAAATACCTCATTATCTTTCATGCTATGAAACATTCCTTTCACTTCAACTGATTTTTCCTTTTGCAATCAAAGCTGTGAAACAGAACCTGCTCCAGAGAGTTCTCTCAGCTCCTCAGGACCAGTACAACTTACTTCTCTGTGAGCTCTGTCCTCCTCTCCAACCTCAAGGCTCCAATAAGGACACAGAGTGTGGTAGACAGTGAAGCTGGAAAGTTAATTTTTCCATGGAACAAAGTGTTTCTTATTGCTACAACAAGACTTTTTGAACATCAACTATTGTTTTAGGAATAGCCCATCCCAATAACATTTCACTGACCTCAAAGTCCTCAAGGGAAAGTTTGCCTTTGGCCAGAGATCCTCACAACAGAGGGACCCTGTGCCCTGCAGCAGCGCAGCTGGGTGAACCCAGTGAAAGAAGAGTTGGGTCTCACCAAGCAGCTGCCAATGTCAACAAAGCTTCTAGTTCACCAGAAACATTGACATTTCACTTTAAACTGGGGATTTAAACTGAAGGGTGGGGGGAGAAGATAAAAAACTTTGTTTGTGACCAGACCTAGCCAGCAAAGTCGAGGCCTGGCCACAAATAGAAAGAATAGAATCTTAGCCAATAGGGACCATCATGCAGTTGACAGTGTGAGAGTCAAAGCCTTATTTTTCCCACAAAAGTGTCTAAAACGCCATTATGTGGATGGAGAGCTGCACAGGTTGCTGGTGCTTCCCTCTGATTCAGTAAGCCAAAGGAATAATAAATTTGTAGGGATGTGACCTTGAAAATGTGAAGATTCCTCCATTCATGGTTCCAAAGCAGGACAGTGCGACAAGGACGGGGACCACAGAGATCAGGCTTTTGAAGGCTCGCTGCACAAAGCTCTGGAGGAAGAGCAAGCCTGACTTTAGGAACATGTGGTGATCTCCAGGAGACATCAGGTTCAAAAGAGAGAAAACTCTACTCCTAAATCTCGCTTTTTCTACTGTCATCTGCAGGCTATTTTTCCTTATCTTTTAGACAAGACTAGAAGAAGTTACTGTTGCCCAGTAATCCGGAGAAATTACAAAGCAACAAAATACTTTATAGGAAAACTAACTCTGAAAGTCTTGCCATGATCACAGCATAAGCTGACCTCACTGAAGAGATAAGAATAGGGGAAAAACTCACCACAGCCACAGCAGGAGAAGCCAGAACATCTTGTGTTCCCAGGACTGTGTAATAGGAGACGTTGGTGAGCATGTACCCCACAATTACCGTGATCACGGAGATGATGACAGCCAGGGGAATATTTCTACAAGAAAGAGGAAGACAGACACACAAAGAACACGCTGCTATCCCTTGTTATGCACGGTATTACTGCAGACTGTCACTGGCATTGGTTAGGTGAGCCCACAAACTAATTCCTCCCATACTGCATTTGGGAAAGCGTGATACCCCAGAAGCTGGTAACCTAAGACGACTTTTTCCCAGCCTTACCGTTCAGGTCTGACCAACTCTTCGCGCACAAAGCTGGCCTGAAACCTGGGAAGAAACAGGGAGTCAGTCTGAATCATGCTGAGGGCACCTGTGTGCTGCCCGTGAAGCACCCTCCCATTCCACCTACCAGCCTGAATATGCGAACATGCCTGCGTAAAAAGCCAGGGGGAGCTTATCCAAAACTAGTGACTCTCTGTCAAAAGCATCCTGGAAGTTTTCGGTGTGGCCTGCAGAAGAGATAAACAATAGACACGGAGCAGGGAAATGTCACAGAGAGGCTTCCTTCCCTGTGGGATAACATCCCTTGTACCTCTCATTCAGACCTGGGAATATTGTTTGTTACTTCCTTGGAGCCAGATATTCAGATTTCTTTCATTGCTTTAATTTGCAGAGTTGTTGCTGATACATTTAATTCCCCACAGTGACAGAAAAAAAAAATCTATCCCTTGTCCAGCTACAGGAGACATTTCAGGAAGGACAACAGTGACAGATGGCTGTTTCCAACAGAGCCTGCCATGGGAACAGGAGATCATGGAGAGGAGAGGACTCACGTAGTCCTGTCCTTTCTTCAGGCACAAAATTAAGTTTCTGGGTTGACCCCCATTTTCCCTCCCCAGCCCCCTAAGGAGCTGGATACACACTCCTCTTTGATGTGGTGCAGCCAGCGAGGCAGCAAACTCGGTTCTCACTGTGCTCTCTCCTGTTCCTGCTGCCGGAGCACTGACCCCAGCCCTGCACTGGCCAGAGCATGGGAACTCGGGTGGAGGAGGGAACAGGAGCAGGGACTGCCAGTCTGGCCCCCTGTCCAGGCAGGTTCCCTGCCCACCACCCCTGCTTGCCCACACAAGAAGGACACAGAGGGAAAAACAAATAAATTTTAAAAGTAGAGGTGGCTCAGATAGAAAACCTATTTTTCCATCTCCCCAAATTTTCCTACAAGTTCTGTGCTTGAAATAACAAAACAAAACATAACAAAAAAAAAAAAACCCAAAGTCAGATTTTTCTCTAACTCCAAAAAAAAAAAAAACTTAGAGAAAAGAGAAATGTCTAATGGCCTCTCATTCAAACATAGTTAAAAATAGTTGCATTTCCAACATTTTCAAATCTGGCTGGCCCAAGGTATGGTTTTACATCTATATTCAGTTTTCCATATTAAAGTTTCTTTAAAATAAGAGGCATGAAGCTTCTCTAGTTGGACTTCACCAGGAAAGGGATGAAATGGCATGGAGCATTTGGAGAAAGTTAGGTCTCTTCTACGGAGGTGCTTCTACAAGAAGTTCAGTTGTGAGATTTGGTTTGAAATGCTGGCCCAGCAAGTCTCTAAAATAAACCTGAGCCAAAGAGAAGATAATGGCAGAGGAAAAGACAAAAGTGCAACCAAAAAAAAAAAAGCAGAACAAAGCAGGGGAATCAGGCAAAATGATTTAAAAGGACAAAACTGATTTTTAAGCACAAAAGAAATGAAGTCAAAGTGAAAATAGATTTGAAAAAAACTAACCCAAAACGTAGGAGTGGGCCTGTTGGGGTACACTTTTTATGTTCTGAAATGATGGCTGATAAGTCATGGTGCATAAAACAGATTTATTGTCTGCAATGCATTGTCCCTCGTGAGTCACATTAAATACAACCTGTCATACTGGGGTCTCTTGGTGAATTCTCCCTCCAGATGTCACCGGCACTTATCCTCCCCACTGGAGGACCGATGCCAGGGCTCCAGATTGTCGTTTGAAGGCATTCCTAACAATAATGGCTTGGGATTTCTAGCTGCAGGGCAGTCCTTCAGTTCAGAAGCTCTGCCAGCCTGGGGAGGGGGGGATCTTTGCATGTTCAAAGGAGCCAACTCCAGACATCAGAAAGAAACACGAACATGGAGCCCACTGCCTGTGGTGTTTTCTCTGCACAGGAAGGTAATAGCATGAAGGGAGGGAGCAAGGAGCAAGCTTCCTCCCTTGAGTGGGAATGACTCGGGTTTTTCTATAAACTGAGGCTTGGATTAAAGCCAATACTCTTGTATCATTCCCAGAAGATACTACTAGTAGGTTTTTTTTAGCCCCCACTCTGAATGTGAGCATGCAAGCCTGCAGGATTCCATTGTAAGTTCCCTTAATTACTGTCCATCTGGATTTGGAGGAAAAAAGCATTAGCATCAGCCACAGAAAGGTTAGAGATGCCATGACCAGGGTTCAGCTGAGGGCTGGTAACTCATTGCACAGCTGTGCCTGCCTCAGGTCACCATGGGATGCTGTCACACACCCTTAATGTCCATCAAATTTGTGCTTTGGAAAGATTTTGAGCCATGCTGGGAACAGGCAAGTCTGACTCCAAAGAAAGACCATCTGCAGAGCAAGGTGCCTGTATGACCCCGGGTAGGATCACACAGCCTAAGGCACTAAGGTCCACTCAGTTTTAGAGAAAGCACCACCTAGCCAGGTGCATCAGCCCAGTGCTATGATGTAGCTTAGTGACAACTACGCTGGTCTCAGATTATCTCCCAGATAATTCACATCCAGCACACAGACAAAGCTCCTGCCAGCTAAATGAGCACCACACTTGTCACTTGGGATTGATAAAAGCTGTGACAGGCGGGCACATCGAGCACCCTCCCTCAGCCATGCAGCAGCAACACCTACCCTGGGCCAGCAGCATCATCCCTGGCACGATGATGAGTGCAAGAGCCAGGAGTTTAACAACGGAGAGAGCCGTCTGCAGCCGGGCACTCCAGGTGACACTCCAGGAATTGAGGGTGAGGACCATGTCTGGAGAGAAGACCACACTGCTACAGCTGTAGCCCATGTTTGACACACAGAGGAAAAATTACAAAGGCATTCCCTGCTCTAGGGATGCCAGGGACAAGACTGCATCTTTATGCAGGATGCTCAGGGTAAGAGATGTCAGAAAACATCACAGGTGTGGCCCAGTGTACAGTATTTGAAGGGTAAGCTGCGTTACGCTCCTAAAAGAGACCAGGAGCCTGGTTCCTGCCAGGTGATCCACATCTGCCTGAGGGAAAGGTGCAAGAGTGCCAGGACATCTCAGTAGATGCACTGCACAGCATTGCCTGTGCCAGCACACAGCAATCCACAGCAGGCAGGACAGTGTCACAGGCTGGATGCACCAGGCAAGGAGTGCAAAACCTTGAGCCTTACACCCTCTATCCAGGTGCCATTTGCACAGCTATACATGAAGAGTTTCTGCTCCCATACCTGGCAAAATCTCCCTGACTTAGGGCTCCAGCTGCTCAACAGGGAGGCCCATTCCCTTTCTTGGAGAATACAGTGACCCAAAACCATCAACCATCTTGAATCAGAAAGTTTTGTGTAGCTGAAGAGGTAAGACAGGAGCCAGATCTCACCATTATTTCAGAGGATAACCCCCCTTAAATGCCCCTGGTCTGGGGCAGAGAGGCTCCAGAACTGACAGTCCCATAAATGTTAGTACTTACAGTACCCCATGAGAGACACAAGCTTCACTGCAGGGACAGGGGCTGCACAGGGGGCAAAGAATGGCTCCAGCATGTACCGTCCAAATGCCAAGGCAACCACGGCACTGTTGGCAGGCCTGAAGAGGGGTCAGAGTGGGGGAGGGAACTGAGCACACACTGGTCTGAGGACAGCCGAAAAATGGTATGAGGTAAAACTGCACAAAACTTGGGACGGGGGGCAAGTTTCCCCACCTGGGTTAATCTTGCTCACCCATGCAGATGGTGAGTTCCCAGAGTCTTTTTCATAGTTTTTTCCTCAGTAAATGGGTTAAAAACCACATGCTGCAAAAAGATTAATTCCCAACTTGAAAGCAAAAGTTGAGATTAATCATACTGAGCAATGTGGTGTGGTTCATATGTCCTGCTTCATCTCAGCTTATGTGAAAGACACAGGTTATTGAGAAGTGAGGACTTCCTTTTTACTCTTTAAAAAAAAGAAGCCGTTCGCAGTGTTCTAAATTATTTCACTTGGGGCTAAGCCAGAAAGTTGTTTCCACTTTCTGAATCTGGAGAAACCAAAAAGTTTCACAATGAAAACAGAAGATCTGAAATAAATCTGGCATCTATTGTCAGTCTCTGAAAAATACCATGGTTCTTGGGGGAAACCAGCTGCCAGGGGAGAAGAGAGATATTCTTTAAGCACAAAACATATTGAATATGTGTAACTGTTTACTCATTATGCCTTCTTCTTTTTATCACTGAAAAAATCTTTAAAAATTGTTCAACTTGTTTCTACTCTTTCCTTTACAAACTGCCTGGACTGTTACTTGGCATCATAACTTTTTGGTTTTTGAATTGTCACTGCATCCAGGAAAAGGCAAACAAACAAAATCTCTTACCTGATAGCAAAAAACTCTGCCCACAGGAATAAGAAGCTTGGCAGAGGCCCTAGCGTCTCCAAAATGTAGATGTAATGTCCTCCAGACTTGGTGATCCTTGTTCCAAGCTCTGCATAACACAAGGCACCTGGAAAAGTTCAGGTAAAAGTGTCCCGAGTAAATCATCCCATGGATTTTCCCTTTTCTGTGTGACTTTTCAGAGATTGAATGAATACATTTAAAGTTAGCAGTAAATCAGAGGAAGAAGTACAAATCTTAAGTTTTGCCTGTGTTGGATTTGCTTGTTAGGTTAAACATCCCCTGCTCATCAAAACAAATCCTAAAACACTTCTCTTCATTGAGCACAACTCTGCTTGCAGTGGAACTGAGCACTGTTGGATGTGACCCTGTGAAGAGCATCTCTAGCTGTGCTGTCCACTTCTTCAGCCAGCTCAGGTGGCCGTAGAAGGAGAGTGCAGAGGAACCTGGCGGTGATATGGCCATGCCTTTAAGTCCTGTGGCAATCATGCCATATTCAGGTCATGCCGATGATGGCAACCTCAATTTTTCCTGCCTCTCTGTTGGGAAATCTGTGCAGAATCCCTGTTCAAAGCATAGAATGCAGGCAGACAGCTTGTCTCATTTTTTCCAGTGGGTCCCTTTACATGCTCCAAGCATGCATTTAAGTGCTCTGCTGAACTCATGCAACGGGACTTGCAATGCCCCGCTTGAAAGAAAAAAAAATCATAAAAGAAAACAAACCTTTTTAACATACTGCAAAAAGGTGTCAGAGAATTTTTTTTTCTAAGTTAGAAGAAGAATGTTAAAGTCAACCACTGTAATAAGTATCAGATTTCTCTCTTGGGCTGAGATCTTGCAGTTGTCCTAATAGCACCTTTAGAGAGTTTCTGAAATGGTGGTTTTATGCAGTTAATGAAAGAAACTAAAAGCCATGTGTTTCATCCATTTTAACTTTACGAGTTATATTATTTCAGAAGAACTAAAATGAAACTGTCATCAAAAAGACAACCCTTTGTGAGAAAAGACTAGTATTAAATGCCAGAAAACAAGCCAAAGGTAGTGCACAGAAAGCAGGGCTGAACTGATCTGCTCCATCTCCCGCTCCAAGGCAGCATCAGACATACCCACACCATTTCTGACAGACACCCAGAGACCTACCCCCAGCTGGTGGATACTCTGCAGTTCCCCAGGCACTCTGCTCTAGGGCTTTGCTATTCTCTCCAACAGAAAGGGGATCCTACATGGCATATTGAGACTGTCCCTTCTTGCCCTTTTCACAGTGTCTATGAGAAGCACAGCACAGCCCTTCCATTCCCTTTTAGGTGCCTACGCCTCCCTTCCACCTTACAGAAGGAGTCCCCTCATTCTCCCCCAGGCTGAGACTCCATCTGCAGTCACCGTCACTCCTCTGCCCTGGACTCAAACATGAATTGATATTCACAGATGGTAGGTGCTGGAATTTTGTCAGTCACCCAGGGGAATCATTTGAACTAACGACCACCCCCTGGCTTGTTAAACCTTTGTTTCTCTTGCAGTAGGAACCAAGTATTTTGAGTTTGTTCATCTTCCAACTTTTTATACATGAAAACGTGCAGGCTCTCCTCACCTCTCAGGTGCTTAAGCAAAGGCTAACAAAGCTCACCACTCACCAAACATTGAGAGGAGCCCACAGGCAAACCAGACAACCAAGGAGAAACCCACAGTGCCAGTGTTTTTCAGTACTCCTTTTGGGGAGATAAAGATGCCACTGCCAACCATGCTGCCGATGAGGAGCGAGAAAGCCCTCAGCAAAGTTATCTTTTGCCTCAGAAAGATGGCCTCTTCTTTCTTGTCCTTCCCCATTCTTCTAATCACAGGGGAAGGTCATGCATTCAGGAGCTACAGTCTCCCAAGTGTCCTCAAGGCTCACCTGTAAGACAAGGAGTTAGGGATTCGAGGATCTTCTTTTCTGGACAAGATTTTTTTTTCAGAAACCTGTCAAGATCTGTTGAATCTGTTCTCCTCAACTGCAGGATGCACCAAACAAACACAAGTGCACAGAACACCATCGATATCATCTCTCTCATCAGTACAGCTCCCAAGAGGCACGTTAAGTGTTTTCTTCCTCTTCCGTCAGGCAGCACAGAGCCTTACATTTTGCATGCCACATTTCAGGATATGATTTCCAAATTTGACTTTGATACCCAGACTGGAACTGGCCAGGTTAGGGTTAATTTAATGGAACCTAATTTGGGGGGACATTGATTTCAGTTTGCTGGCAGAAAAGAGATTTAAAGTTTCAAACCTAACAATTAAGACCTTGAAGATCTCTGAGGTTAAAAAACATTAGGCTGCATTAGTTGGTGTGCACAGATGATTTAACCTTTTTTGCTTCCTGAATAAACAAGCCTTGTTTTTTCTCACTAGAGGTTCACTTTATCACTGTTTCTTAATATAGTGTCAAGCCTTCTTGCTCTTAAAGTATTGAAGAGTCAGAAATAAGTACTGTTTACAATTGTAAAACAGAGCATAGTCATTACTATCAGACATGTCATTTCTTCCATTAATATAAAAACTTTCTTGGTAACAGGAGCAGTGAAGTTTTTCCTAGAAAAGAGGGAACTTCAGAGACTTCAGGGACCACATGAGTTGATCCAGATCTAGTTTGCTCCCAAGGCAGCAACCTCCCACTTCCCTGCCTTGTCTCTCCCATGTCTCTCAGTCCTAGACTGCCACCTTCACCAAGAAACTCACCTTTTGCTCAGGTAGGTAAGGCGAATTCAGATCAGTTACTGCAGTCCGATTTGCTGCAGCAAACCTGTCTGTAGTTTTTGTAACAGCAAGGTAGATACTTTACACTGCTAATTATCCCCGGTAGAGCAGGCAAGGCAAGTACGGAGTAGATAATCCCCACACATCCCCACCAATACTCAGACACTCAGCTTCAGTGCTTTTTTTTTTATTATTCTAATGCAGTAATTTGCAAATATATATAAATTATATATATATATTTGCCCCAGCTGCATGTGTGTATACTATTGTGAAGTTACACCGTACATTAGACCCTATTTTATGGATTTCTTGAATTATTTAATAATTGCAGTGGTGTGTCTGTGAGGAGATACTGGTCACCTATAGAAGCAGATTTAAGCAGCCAGAAAGTGCTTTCTTGATATTCTGTATTTTCCACCTATAGACATAAATGTCCCCTTAACATTGAGGGGGACAATTCTTGTTACCAGTTACCAACGATACTTATTTGCATGCCCTGTGTAAACTCAGTATAACCAAGGGCTTTTCTCCCCCATTCCCAGCTATTTTCCCACCTGGAGACCGGCAGGAGGAAGTGGGGGTTATCACTTTCTCTGCACACATATGTCTAGCACATGCAGAAAGCCCTCTCTCCTGCCAGCAGCATGAGCTGGTTTCTCTGAGATCATGCCAAGCCTGCACACGCATCTTCCCAATCAAACCAGCCAAGTTTAGTTATTAAACCCCTAATGAGTCCCGGAGGACTCCTTAAGGCTCAGATGGGTCACATCAGCCTCGTCTGGTCCCACAGAGCTGCTCCTCAGAGTCCCAAAACCTCACAGGGCTGCTGGAGACAGTGGCTCTGGAGGAGCAGGGAAAGACCCCTGGGAGCTTCCCAACCCCTCAGCTGCAGTTCCCTCAGACACCAATTAATTATCTTAACGTGAAATACCAGTATCATCTGGTATTTCTCAGCTGAAATGAGAACCACACAGCATTCATTTGCAGGGGTGAAACACAGAGGCTCACCGAATTGAAACTGAAGAGAGATGCTGTGCACAGCTGCGCCTAAAACACTGTTCTGAGATAATTAAAAGGGCACTTATCTGTTTGGCTGGGCTTTAAACCAAGCAGGTGCATTTACAATCCATCAGACTCCCATTTCTTGCTGGGATCCCAAAGCAGCAAAAGACAGCGTCTCTTTGCAGGCTCTGAAATTACACAGAGAGAGAAGGGGAGGAACAAAAAAAGGAGAGATCAAATCAAATTTACTGACCAGGTTAATGATCCAAAGTAAACATCAAACTCCGTACTTCTGTCCTCATGGGGTTTTTGTTTTGGATTTTTTTGTTGTTTTTTTTTTTTTAATACCACTGCCATGCAAAAGTATTTGGAGATAAAACAGTCCAATCCAGTAAATCTGAGAAACATGAAATCTATCAGAATTTGTTCCAGAAGCTATTGAAGGAGAAGGAAAAAAGAGGTAAAAGGAAAAATAATATAAAAAGTAATAGAAAGGTATTGAATAACACTTCAAACAGTCACCTAGCAGAGCCCACTGCTTGGAGAGACCATTCCTGCCTGCTCTGCTTTCCAGCTACAGTCCAACACCAGGCACATTAAAATGCAGAGATGTTAATCCTTGTGGCAATGCTTAAGAATATTCACAATGTGCTTGGCACAAAGGAAACAGGCAAAGCTGCTTTTTGTTCACCCCTTTGACTTAAAATACAGGTTTTATTCTTGTCCCAATACGGGGTACCTTTGCATGAGACAGATCATCAGTCAGCAGGGCTGAAGAAAAACCTTGCTCAAACCTATTTCACAACTTATCACACATACTGGATCTTTACTCCCTTGTTCTTCATTTATACTGACTTTATTGTTGGTTTGGTTTTTTTAGCTGTTAATCTTACCTCACAGGCACCGCAGCATGGACGGAGATGGAGAAGACAGGCATAAAGAGAAAATCATGTCTGTTATTTGTCTAGAAGCCCCAGCTGAGAGCAGGACCCACTGTGGTCAGCACAGAGGCAGAGTAGATGTTACTCTGCTGAAAAGCTAGTGAGATAAACAAGCAAGTTGGAAAAAGCAGAGGAGGGAGACAGCATCATTCTCAGCTGGGGAGCTGAGACCTAGAGCAACCAGTGACCTTCCTTCTCCTATCACACAGGAAGTGGGTGGCATCCCTGGGAAAGAGACTGTACCTCTAGAATTCCACTTCAACGACCTATCCCCCCAAAAAACACCCCAGCTACTAGGGAATACTCCTAACTATTTACAGCTGTTTTCTTTGTGTGGGCCTCAATCAATACCACACAGCCAAGAACAGGTTAACCCCTTCCTTTGCACACTGCAAAAGATGCAGGCGTCAAGCAGTTCCTCACAGTCCCACTGTTTTTATTTTTTTTGTGTGCCAAAAATGTCACTCCAATTCAATGTCCACCACAAGGCACAGGATCTAACTAAATAAAATCAGCAGTGAATGGAAGCTTTTTTATTCATGCATGAAAGTAGCATAAATAAGCTTTAATGAGGCTGGTGGTGGTCTGTTCTGGGAACTCAATCAGAAAATCTATTTAGGAGACCTGAGAGATGTTTGTTTACAGACCAATATGAACACAAGAAACAGGCTGAAAGGACAAGACATGCAGCTCTACTTCTTTTCAGCTTTCTACAGCTGGTCTGCCACCCTGGATAAGAAACTGAAAGGGACAGTAGTTAATAAATCAGACTCAGGCTCACAGCCCCAGATGTAGTAATAAATCCATGCAATTGCCTTAGGTGTAAATGTAAAAATAATTTCCATTGGCTTCTCTTTCTACAGAGTTTCACAAATATAGTCTTGTGAGTTGTCTACCAAAAGACTACTATTTCCTAACATATCTGCCTTAATGATATTTTTTTTTTGCCTTGACTGCAAAATGGCTCTTGGCTTAGGTCACACCATATTTATCATCTCATTTAGGCATTTCCAGTTGTCCTTCAGACAAGGGTGACTTTTTCAGGAGAGGAGGCTGATGATATGGTGAGTCTGGACCTCTTGATGATATGAGGATGACCTTTTAATTGAGAACCTAAAAGGTGTTGAATCCACACTTTACCTCTTCGGCTAGAAATTAGACTAAACCAAATCTGGTTTTCAAGCAGCTAAATTGCTGCTGCTTTCAGAGTTCCTTCCTACTGGGATTTATATTCTACAGCTAGTTTAAAGTTCTTCATTATGACCAGTCTGCCAAAGCAGACATTTCAAAAGAAGATGTTTTAATAATAATTTATCAATAATATTATTAATTATTAAATATTATAAATAATATTCCATTTCAGTCTCACAGGATGTACAGATCATTCTAGGCATTCAAATATAACTCTCCATTCAACTGCCACAAGGAACTTATACTTCTGTGTATCCAGAACTAATTCTCCACTAATGTTGTAGAGGAATATGGACCCTTTCATGAGCATTTCTTCCTCACATGTTCCCCGTGACATGCAAAACACAAATATGGGAGAGATGCACAACTGATTAAAATAGACTCAAGTATTCTTCTACCACACTAACTATTAAAGACTATCAGGAAGATGTACCAGCATCCCTGTGAAATGAACTAACATTCATAAGTTTCCCTTTCTTACAAGCGGGAGAAGAGAATACCCAAGGCACTTGCCTCCCAGTCCATCAGACCCAAAGGAGCAATACCCAGAGGACCAGGCACTGGAACACACGAATCCAAGGGAAAAAAAAAAAGCCACTTAACAAGATGCTGTCTCACGTAGTGGTGCTTCCTGAGGCCAACATCTTGGCTCTACAGTATGTCTTGTGGGGCACAGTGCAGGGAACTGTCCTTAGAGGTTTGTTCTTTTGTGGACAGCTCTCCAAGTAGCAAGCTGTTTTCACTCTCCAGATCAGACCTCCTCCCTGGAACAAGACAATTTGTCCTATTTGAAACTGTTTTCTTAGCTGCGTAAGACAGAACACAAACAAAAATAAATCTAAACATTTCTAGGAGAAGACACCCAACAGAGAAGTTAATGCTGTAGCAAAGTACAGCCAAAATTTTCCCAAATGAGAATTCTTCTCAAGCACTTCAAATAAAAAAAAAAACAACAAATCCCATAATAGAGCAACATCCCTCCTCATTTCAACAGTTTGTGGCACTGCATCAGTGCTGAAGTCTAAGGGTTTATCTGCCTTTGATCTGGAGCTGGGCAGTGCCAATGTTCAACAGCTCTCAATCCTGCAGGGAAAATTCCTCCATGAACCAGGTCTTTGTTCTACCTCCTGCCTTGGCTGAGGGCTCTAAAAGACACTGCTCCCTAGCCACTGCTTGGTGACTTAGCAAAAACAAGTTTAACAGCTTCAAGTTATTATGTGGGGAGCTGTTACCCATCCCTGGGACTGCGGAGTTGCTATGGTGGGTGTCTTTATCAAGGCCAGTATTCCTATCAGTGACAGGCCAATGACACCATCATCCAGAACCACCCTGTGCTTTAGAGTGGCAGAGTAATCACAAAGCCTCTCCATAAATATTCTCCAAGAAAAAGACACGTTTCCTGAATGGGGGAAAATGCCAAAATGGCCATGTTCATCACCAGCTTTCCTCACAAAGAGGTAATTGCCCAGTAGTGCAAGCTATTTTATCTTGCTATGGAGTCAGCTCTCTTCAGGTGAAACTCTTTCTGGAGTCAGAGGAAACTCCTCTGCTTCTACTGTTGTCAGATGGTGGGCCCCATCAATGGGGGCTCCTTGTCTACCCCTGCTTTAACCATCTGGAATGGAATCCTTTGAGAACTAACTGCAGTAATAAGACTCCTCTTTCCATATTGCCTCATATATTACGCTAGTTTTCCCCTTAATCTCACTGCAGTGCTGTTGATTTATCACCCCAGGTCTCCAGCTCCCCTCAGACTCGATCACAGTGCCTGGGTTTGCTCCTTCTCTTCCCACCTTTAGGTAATTCAAAATAAAATTTAAACACTTAAAACCAACAACCCTTTACACCTGCATTAACCACTCTGACTGCTACTCACTGCCTAATCCATAGTTAATCCTCCACGTTTTATGCTAAATCACCCACTCTGGCACCTGACTTGCACGCAGCCCAAACTCTGCCTTGATCATACCTCAGGGTGGGGGGGACTTTCTCCTTTTGGCCTTTCTGCTCAGCTGTTACTCATTTATTAAAATATAAGCCAAATATACAATTACGCTGGAAGGAACATGTTTCCTTGTTAACCCTTTTTGGCTCTTACCCAGAATTTGTCAGGCTGTGGGGATTTATATTTTACTATGCAAAGTTTCAGATTAGTTGCTCACCATTCCCCGTGCCTCTGATGGAAGGAAGGGGAACAAGAAGGGTTTTCTCTGACCAGAACCACTACCTCATCCCCCACGAGACAGTACAGGAACACGTCCTGGTCTGTCCTGGGTAGCAGGGAGCAGCGACTTAGACAGCAAACCCTCTGGTCAGAAAGAAAACAGGACTTATGCTCAGCCCTGCCAGCACATTCAGGGCATCTCTAGCCCAGATGAGGGTATGGACTGTGCTGGCAGCTGCCAGACAAGGGTCTTGGTGGGTGACAGGAGTGAGAAGAGGTTTTGTTAAGGATGGTAGTTAATGAGAGGGGGGGAAGAGGGGAGGGGTGTGCATGCTCCATGGTGGGAGCAGCTTGGGCAGAGCTCTAACCCCTTGCCTGAAAGGAACATCTGCAGTTGTGCACAGAAATCCCACACATCATTATATCTCCTGGTTTAGAAGAGGTGAGGGAATGAACATCTGTCACCGGAGTCCCCAAGCCCTTGCAGCTACAGCCCATTTTACCTGTAGCAGAAGCTGAAGTGCAAAGACAGAGAAGGAACACACACTGAAGGACCATTAGAGTCCTGATCACAAGGAGGAATCTTTGTAGAGCTTGCTACTAAGTGGCATAGTTTGCTACAAAGTGGCACTTGGCACCATATCATCTCAAGAATGAGTATGCAGCCCCTGCCAGCTTCCCAGAGCCAGAAGGATGGCACCAGAAACTAACCAAACACCTAACTCACTTGTTTTTTCAGGTAACATACGGGCCACCCCCTATTTTCACTTGTATTTAATGAGAATCAGATTCTAGGAACAAGAGTGTCAACAAAACCAG